ACACCTGGGTGGCTTAGTGGTTGAGTATCTGCCTTCAGCTCAGGGCATGATCCTGGGGTCCTGGGATTGAGTCCCACATTGGGCTCCCTCTGCCTATGTCTCTACCTCTCTTTCTACGTCTCTCATGAATAAATAAAATCTTAAAAAAAAAAAGTTATCTCCCCAAATAAAATAAAGCAATTGAACTAAATAATAAATAACAAAAAGTACTAAGAACTTAAGCTTAATAGTAAGCTTTCCTTACTTTCCTAGGTAATTTCCTTAATAAGAAATTATCTTTCCTTAATAGGTAAGGAAAGATCCATTAACACTGGATCATAAGCCAGTCAGACCAAATGTGAAAAATAAGAAATGTGGGGGACAGGGGTGCCTGGGTGGCACAGTCAGTTAAGCATCTGACCTGTGGTTTGGGCTGAGGTCATGATTTCAGGGTCATGAGATCTAGCCCCATGTGGGGCTCTACACTCAAGAGTGGAGTCTGCCTCGGATTCTCTATCCCTCTGCCCCTCCCCTCCACCTCAAATAAATAAATAAATTTTAAAATTAAAAAAAAAAGAATAAGGAATATGGGTCCATTTTTAACTACTATACCAAAGAGCCATCCAAAACTACCACCCACTACCACATACATTTTTTATGACTGAAGGTAAATATAACTGCATAGATAAATATAATTGCTCACTGATGCAGGTGAAGTAAAGAATTTCATAATCTAGTTCAGAGCCATTATGAAATATCAAATTCTTTTAATTTCATTAATTTACTCAAATTATAAAATATATAAACTCACAAGGTATTAACTCACTACTCTATGTATATATTCTTAATAATAAATAATTCTAGCATTGATGAAGTGACCCTTTGCTTTTCCTACCTATTATATCTACCTATCGGTTCAACTGGACTTTGTCAACAGAAGCACAAATGAAAGGGAAGACTCAAAAATATCTGATAAAAGTAATCAAATAAAGATAAAAGTGTCTTCCATAAAAGTCTTTTCTATTCACATTTATCTTTTATACCACAGAAAACCTTAATAAACAATTCAAATTTTAAAAATATAAATGTGACTTAAAAATTAATTAAATTGGCAGCCCTGGTGGCTCAGCGGTTTAGCGCCACCTTCAGCCCAGGGCGGGATCCTGAAGACCCGGGATCGAGTCCCGCATCGGGCTCCCTTCATGCACCCTGCTTCTCCCTCTGCCTGTGTCTCTGCCTCTCTCTCTCTCTCTCTCTCTCTCTCTCTGTGTCTCTCATGAATAAATAAATAAAATCTTTTTTAAAAAATTAAATTTATGATCAATAGGAAATCTCTTATGGATAAGAGCATTTTAAAGACTGAAGAGTCTAGGTCAGAAAAATTTTATTTACTGTATTTATATTTTATTTACTTACTATTTTATAATAAGAAAACAAAAGTTGTTCTGCAAATTTAACTCCAGTAACTATCTGGATCACATTAAAGCATACCCACCCTAAGCAGATAGAGAAGCCTAAACTAATACATTATCTCTGAACTAAGTTATATGAAATTCTGAAAACACAGAGGTAAGAGACTAATAATTGATGATTCTGAAACAGTTGCTTAAAAACAAAGAATAAAGCAATTATGAGACAATTATTTCTAAGATAGAAAACATCAATGAGAAGAAGCATTTAAAAATTTAGAAGCATAATTACTGATAATGGCTTTATTAGAAAAGACTTAAAATCTAGATTTTAGATATTAGATTTTTGGTTTAAGAATGTTTTAACCTAAAAATCACTGTCATTTTCAAGAAAAGAAAAATCACAAGAAAAATTTTAGCAAAGTATGAACTAAAAAGTTAAAAATTAATATCTCCATATAAATATAATTATATTAATATTACATATTAATAATCCTCTAAGATTAAGATATATGTTCTTGGGCAGCCCTGGTGGCGCAGCGGTTTAGTACCGCCTACAGCCTGGGGTGTGATCCTGGAGACCCAGGATCGAGTCCCGCGTTGGGCTCCCTGCATGGAGCCTGCTTCTCCTTCTGCCTGTGTCTCTGCCTCTCTCTCTCTGTGTGTCTCTCATGAATAAATAAATAAAAATATTTAAAAATAAAAAAAAAATTAAAAAAAGACCACCGCTGGACTCCATTTGATATTGAGGATCTAAATAAGGCAGCAGAAAGAAAACACACAGGATATGAAAATTATGGCTAATCACAGTATATAGAAGATAAAATCCTGGGGGAAGTGGGGTTGAAGAAAACAGTTATATGTCTTTTGTTTTGCTTCTCATTTAATACATAATCTAATCATTAACTTAGAATCTACTTAAGAGATTCAATGACCAACATTAAGGAGGTCCTTATTACAGAAGAAAATAAATGCAATCAACAAAAAGGCTTTTTAAGGTAAACCTGTTATAGAAGAGACCAAAATTATTACAGTGAGGAATAAAACAAAACTGTCTTGCATTTAAATAATAAAGCTAATAATTATGGCGGAAGAAAGTTACTGTAATTGGAACTGCATGTTATTTCTTAAAAATAAAATATTTGTAGAATAGCATAACATTCTTTCCAGTACATTTAATTTCACATCTTAATCTTAAGGGTCATTTCCTAAGAGTACTTTAGGGATACATCATTTTTCCCAAGTGTTTCTCTCAAACTTTTTTTTTCTCTCAAACTTTAATATTCAAATTATTTGTTCCAAGAAAATATCAAAATACTCTTTTAAAGAAAGTTCTATGTTTGCCTGTTTTACCTTCAACTGTTAACTAAGTTAACTCTGCCAGAACCTCATTTTTGATGATAGCTTTGCATAGGGTTTTAGTAGATCTCCAACAAAGATTTCATAGACTTCATGAAATCCGAAATCTTTTGAAAGATCTGCTTCTTTATCTTATAACACAACCACTTCTCATCTCTTCCTCCAATAACATCCAAATCCAAGGCACTACCTCCTCTCTTCTAGATTGTTATGTGCTTCCTTAACTTTTACCACACTTGCAATGGCACACAGTTGGGACACAGACTCTTCTCTATCCTCCACATAATTACCCTAGTGAACATTTTAAAATCTCTATTAGATCCTGTTCAAAACTCTCCGATGACTTTTTTAAAAGATCTATTTATTTTAGGGGGAAGGGGCAAAAGGAGAGGGGGAGAGAGTCTTAAACAGACTCCGTCCTCTGCATAGAGCCTGACTCAGGTTCAATCTAACAACCCTAATAACATAACCTGAGCTGAAAACCAAGAATGGGACACACAACTGACTGTAATACCCAGGGGCCCCAACACTCTAACATATTTATACTTCACATGAATGAAGTATAAAAATATTAATATTTTTAATATTAAACTTAATGTCACATCCCCAGAGAAGTCTGACTACAAACTGACTGGAACTACATGCTATTTGCAATCCTAATATGCCCTAATTTTTTTTGCAAACCCATAATATGCATAATTTTTCTTCCTAAGGTACTACTTACATGCTTTGTACTACTACTACTATATCATATATTTCCTTGCTTACTATTTCCCCAAAGCTCACACAGACACCTCCCAAAAGGTAAAGTCCATTAAGGGCAGGAACTTTGCCAACTAAGTCCAACAAATAGAACAGTGCCTAGTGCATATCAGAGGCATTCAATAAATAGTTAAATTAACATGTGACTATATTGTCACATGTTAATAAAACCCATCAGTGAGAGACTGAACCATAAAAACCTGGACACAAAAGAAAGAAATGCCACCATTAAACAAGAGAGAGAGAGAGCACAGTGGGAATCGTCAATGAATATTTTGAGAGATGACATTTTTGTTTATCTGCATATACTAACATAATATTCCATTGACAAAGATCCCATGTATTTCATAAAGTAAGCATTAAACTTAAAGGTAACAACAACCCATAGACTAAGTCATTCCCAAGTGTTTTAAATAAAATAAAAGGAATAAAGTTGAATTATACAGCTATTAGGACTCCAAAATCAACAAGAACTCACAAGGATTCTCCATAAATGGTTAATGAGGAAAATACCAAACAGCACAGAAACCTTTTTTTTTTTTTAAAAAAGAAATCTTTTTTAACTAGAACCTCCCCGTGCTCCTTCCTCACATCTCATTTCAAACTAGATCCACCATAGCTTTCCTTAACTGACACAGGTTTTGAAGGCTGGTTTAATCTCTTATACTGGCACTGAATTGCCTGATAATCCACATGTTATCCTGAAATTGTTTGTTTGAAAAGCTTCCACTGGGCCATTAATCTAGATGGATTAGCAAGTTAAAAGCACATAAAATTGCCCTTACTTTGAACATATCAAGCAAAAAAAATTCAAATTCAAATTTTAGGTAGTACATATTTTATCAACTGGAACTTCAGAGCTAGAAAGAACCAGAGACATTTACTGCACATCACAAATACATACTGAATGAGGCCAATCACTATTGCTACTCTAAAACCTAGGGAAACAATCACGAGCAAGATAATTCCTGTCCTAATAAAGCATATAAAAAAGAAGACAAATTAACAACACAGAGTAATGAATAAAATAGTAGGGAAATCTAAACTGACAGATTTAATGCCTTTATTTTAAATCTGGGCAAAGTAATGTACCCAAGCAAATTCAACAAGTTAAGGGACATGCCCAAGGTTCTACTTTAATCAAATTTTTCCCAAAATTACTTACCATTTCATGTTCTTAAATTATAGATTTTTGAGGTCATTTGATTTTAATTCACAAGATATTTAAAGCAACTATTATTTCAGGAAATTCACCAAAATTTTAATCCAACAGTGAATTCATAATATTATAATAATACTCTGCTGTTCGTGGCATGAAAATTCAAAGCATTAAGGAAACAGATGGGCCATCTGAATCTTATTTCTAGATCATGACCAAAAGCAATTTCTCAGGGGTTTTGTACATTACATGGAAAAGGCTCCCAAGGACTAGTACCATATGTGCATTCTGCAACATAAATCCTAAGTAATTACAAGTTTGAAGCTTTGTACCTGTGTGATGGAGAAGGAGCTTCAAATTGAGGCACCGTGCTATCCTCACTGACAGGAGAATACAAGCCACTCATTTCCTGAAAACACAATTATCTGAGTTATAGTAGACAACTCCACACAGAAGATGTAGAAATCAAAATGAGATACATTACAATCCCTTCCAATTCTAGATTTTTATCAGTCCCGTCTGTCTCAACATCCAAATTTCTCAAGGTGGCTTCTCTGCAGAGTACAAAAGCAAGAATATCTAAAAAGTTCAGAAATAGCCTTTTCTATGGTACACATTCTTAAAGAACTAGAAACTCTAAAAATATTGTTCATCGGGCAGCCCGGGTGGCTCAGCAGTTTAGCGCCACCTTCAGCCCGGGGCCTTATCCTGGAGATCCGGGATTGAGTCCCACCCACGTCGGGCTCCCTGCATGGAGCCTGCTTCCCCCTCTGCCTCTCTCTCTCTCTCTGTCGCTCGTGAATAAATGAATAAAATCTTTAAAAATATATATATTGTTCATCACTAATGAGGCCATCAAATACAGAAAAAGACAAATGTATTTCAAATGAGATGCACTATATTATAAGCTAATCATTAATCCAAGTAAGAACCTATTGACAAATAGTAAGATGACAGTACAGTATGTGAATCATTAGGTTCAGCTCTCTAAAGTACAGAAAAACAAGATACGTGTTTACTTTAAAAATATCCTCTGCAAGCATTAACAGTCCTCTTGATTCAAATATTAGCATTTTAAAATAATCCCTGAAAGTCTAACTAATTAACTTAGAAAAGAAGCCTATTCAATTATTACTGCATAAATTATACACCTCTGAATCATACCAACAACCTCACTGTTTTTATGTGGTATTCTGATTAATGGGAAAGCAGTAAATGTTAAAATGCCACTAAAGATACAAATAAATAAACAAACAAACAAACAAATATAGTGAAGTAGAATTACTTCTAAGCCAAGCTCAGCTCAATCATGCACCCAACAAGGGACATAAGCATAGCAGTAACAAGTTAGCAATGTCACATGGGATAATGAGTTTCCACAAAATATTAAACTTAAGACCATTTAACATCTACATATCAGCAAAAGAAAATTATAACACACGTGAACAATTTAAAACACACGCTAAATTTAAATGGAGCTGCAGAAAATAACCTCATGTCATAATAGCTTATGAGCCTCCAAAAGAGCATCCCATGGATTTCATAAGTAAACTATATTATAAATGCCTAGATTATTGTCCACATTCTCATACCTCTTTGTAAATTAACCTTAGCATAGTAGATGGGTAAAAAATTATTTACTTAATAAAAGAAGAGAATTGTGACATTACCACTTTAATGATAATGTAGGGTTTCACAGGATTTGATTTTAAGTCACTATGTTGGTGTACCAAGAAAATTAAATGATTTTTTTCAATCTAACCAAGAATAATTATGGCAACAAAACAGTGAAAACAAATTTAAAATACATTTTATCATAAAGTGTTCAGAACGTTTTTTCTATAAAGATGTACTCTGAATTAAAATTTAAGTAACATCTGTTACTTTCTATATAGTGGAAACAAATCCCACAAATTTGATGCAGTAATTTAAAGTAAAAGTGACAATTTCATGAAAACTCAAAATTGCTAGAAATGTGAGAAATTCTTGATTTCTTACTTCCACTCTTTTAATATCCTCTTCCAAAACACTCAGCTCCTTCTGGATCTGTTCCAGTTGCTGCAGACAAAATAGAGAGGGGGGAAAAAAGCCTAAACGAAACCACACTGGCAATCATCACAATCATAAAATAACTTTACATTTCGAAAATAATTACTAGAAAATCAGGCACTAATAATAAATTGCAGGGATAAAAAACTACAGAACAAAAGAGCTGAAATATCTATGGTAAAAAGTAAATGTAGAGACTTATTTAACATTTAAGAAAACACAACACTGGGGACACCTAGATGGCTTAGCAGTTTAGCACCTGCCTCTGGCACAGGGTGTGATCCTGTACTCCCGGGATCAGTCCTACATCGGGCTCCCTGCATGGAGCCTGCTTCTCCCTTTGCCTGTGTCTCTGCCTCTCTCTCTCTCTGTCTCTCTCTCTCTGTCTCTCATGAATAAACAAAAATCTTAAAAAAAAAAAAACTGTACCTCCTTAATACAAGGGTTGACTCTATATAGACTTTATTCAGTTATGAATGATCAACAAAAATGACGATGTGACTTAATAAAAACAGGAGAAAAAAAGAGAAATAAAAAATAAAAATGGAGATATCAAAAGACTTTCCAATTATCTCATTTGGTAGCAAATTTCTATCATCAGTATCTCTAGGTGGCTGTCTTACTCTAAACCAAATACATTAACCAATTTTTAAAATGTAAAATAATAATGAATACTTGTGTAATACTTATCATATGTGAAATAGGTACTATTACACATTAGGAAAATGAAAAGCATAGAAAGGTCAAATGACTTGCCCAAGATCATTGGGCACTAAATGGCAGAACTGGTATTCAAATCATGGCAGTCCTCTTACTCCAGAATTCCTGCTGTTAACCATTACACTATACTACTTCTTGAGAACTGTAACTCATTATTTAACTTTTCATTCCTTTAATGACTGGTAAGGGTAAACAAACTTGTAAGGTTAATTACCATTAGCACATTTCGTTCTGTGGCAATCCATACACAGTTGGTAATACAACTGATAACTTACTAATTCAAATATTTACCAGTTCTAAGCATTTTACTAAGCACTGGGAAGAATAGGATTTAGAACACCATAGCCCTTGCCCTCATGAAACTCAGTCCACGGAAGAAAGCAAACAAGCAAGCCAACAGTTGAAATATCGTAATAAACATTATGATGATAGTACGCACACAATTAAAGGTAAGGTTGCTTGCTCATAACGAACCTAGCAGAAAACTGGGGAAGAAAGGAGAGGCTACTGGATAAATAAAATTACATTTGAAAGTAAATGAAAGGCAGAGTCTTGAAGAACTAAATAGAATTTTGCTAAGGAAAACAGTGAGGAAAGAGAATAAACAGGGTAAAAGATAATATATAGACGTAAAAGCTGTGAGAAAGAAGAATAATAAATATGAAGCTATGATAATGAAATCACCCAACGGCAACTGGTATAGTCAGCAGAGATGAGGAAAAAAACAGATGAAAGGGAGAACACCAATATTTAAGAGATAGGCAAAGAAAGAAGGAACAGTTCCACATAAACTATTGAGAAGTGAAAGTGGTAGCCACAAAACCAGAATACAAGACTGCATACTACTACAGAAGCCATGGAGAAGTGGAGGGAAAAGTGTAAAAAAAAAAAAAAGTAATTAGCATTGTTCAATGTTTTCAACCTTTCTATCCAGTTTAATAAATTTTTCTCTACCCTAAAATTTTTCACAGCATACTCTTACCTTAACCAAAACCTTGCTCTCCCTCAAAGAAACAGTCTGTCTTGGATATCTTTCAAATAAAAGCTGATCAACTGATAAACACTCACACCGGTTCATTTCTAAAATTAGTCTTCCACTCCAAACCACTCTGGTCTGGTTCAATCCAAGCAGCCAAATCACTATTGATCTTAGCCATCTACAAAACATCTCAGTCATTTCCTACCATCACTGACATCTCTTGTCTTTTGCCTTTTGGTTCATCCACATTTCCAACTCCAGCGATCTGAAGCTCTAATTCAGAGAAGCATCCCATGGTCAACAATTAACCTTTTTAATTAATAACCCTGAAATGCCCACTCTTCAAATGCTTAAATGTTGAGGATCTTTAGTAGGATTGCTTTAAAAAATACATTTCAAAGAAAGATGAAAGTAAACATCTACAGTATCAACATCCAGAGACAGCCAGTATCATTGGTGTGATACATAATACATAATTAAAACCAGATTAGTAATTTTCATTCCAGGGACGCCTGGGTGGCTCAAAGGTTGAGCATCTACCTTTGGCTCACGGGTCCGGGGATCAAGTCCCGCATCAGGTTCCCTGCGAGGAGCCTGCTTCTTCCTCTGACTATGTCTCTGCCTCTCTCTCTATCTCTCGTGAATAAATAAATAAAATCTTTAAAATAATCATTATTATATTATTATTTTTCATTCCACTTTTGAACTTGAAACACCAGAAAAAAATTCCAGTATGACCTGAAATCCTAACATATTAAATTCTAATGCCCTATTCTCTGAAAATAATGCTCCCTCTTTTTAGTACCCCAAAGCTTATGCTGGAAAATGTATCTATTACTATATACGGATGCTGCTTTACATGAGGTGAACTACATTAAACTGCCAATGTTCAACAATAATATCAATAATTACTGGTCCAAAACCAGTAATCTCATATGGTGCAATTTAAAACAAAACAGGGCGTCTGGTGGCTCAGTGGTTGAGTGTCTGACTTTGGCTCAGGTCGAGATCCCAGGCCTCCACACAGGGAGCCTGCTTCTTCCTCTGCCTATTGTCTCTGCCTCTCTCTCTCATGAATAAATATATACAATCTTAAAAAAAAAAAAGACAATAATGTTATCAACAATCAAAACCAGGAATATAAAAATAAAAATACTATAAAGTCTAGAAATTAAACTAAGGGACAAATGCTGCTCTAATAATAGAAAGACACATAGATAGATACAGAACATAAAACAATGCAACCAACTTATGTGAAAAAGTCTGAAAAAGTGTCAAGACAAAAAAAATGTTTCCAGTTTTGAGAAATGGAAATGACTTAACACATACTCAATTTGAGGTATTTACATTTAATGAGATTCTGAAGGGGTCTGGTTAAATATCAGGGCACTGTGATACTGTGATTTATAATAAGAAATACATAATAATTGGTCTTCATTCAGGTCCTGGCCACAGCTCCTAAAATCCTTGATGCGAAGTTTCCATATGTTTAATGAGAAAACTGGTGGCTAAGAGCTCCTGCAGAGCATCCAGATGAGGGCTGGTTGCCAAGGGACCAATCATATAATTAGGTAGAACTTTCAGTTTACTACACAATGTCCAGGTAAGTAAGAAGGACTGGTGATTGAGTTCAATCACTGGTGGGCAATCAATCATGCCTATGTAATAAGCCTCCAGAAAAACCCGTAACTTAAAGGGTTCAAAGAACTTCTGGGTTGGTGAACATGTGGAGATACTGAAAGCATGGCACACATGGAGAATGTATGGAAGTTCTGTGTCCTTTCAAATATACCCTGCCCTGTGCATCTCTGCCATCCAGCTGTTCCTGAGTTCTATATCCTTTTATAATGAATTGGTAACCTAACAAGTAACTATTCTCCTGAGTTTGGTGAACCATTTTAGCAAATTATCAAACCCCATGAGGAGGTCACAGGAACCTTTGACTGACTGATAGATTGATTGATTTCCTCTGATTTATAGTCAGTCAGAAGAAGAGGTGACAAGGTGGACTTGCAATTAGCATCCAGAGAGCATCTTATATAGCATCTTATAAGACTGAGCCACTGACCTGTGGAATCTGGGGCTAACATCAGGTAGATAGTGTCAGAACTGAACTGAATTGGGGGACACTCAGTTATAAGACTTGCAATTATAAGTTATAAGACTTGCAATTAGCATCCAGAGAGCATCTTATATAGCATCTTATAAGACTGAGCCACTGACCTGTGGAATCTGGGGCTAACATCAGGTAGATAGTGTCAGAACTGAACTGAATTGGGGGACACTCAGTTGTTGTCTCCAGAGACCTAAAGAATTGCTTAGTGTGAAAATCACTCGCACATTTGGTGGCCAGAAATATAAGACATAGTGATGAATACGGGATGCAAATGTTTCCCTATCAGGCTTCAACGCAAGACAGACACTACAGTACTAAAATAAAATTAAAAAAAAAAAAGGATAAGAATTTAAAAGCAGAAAGAAGAATTAATCTAAAGTCACTCTTCAAACATGTTTCATAACTGGGAGCAGCACGATCTAGAGTAAAAGCATGAATCAGAGTCCAATAATGTTTTAGAGATATTAAGAAAGCTCACAAAGATGAACTACCATTATCTGACTGAAAATTGGTCACTAATTGAGAATGATATCAAAACCACCCCTGTACCATACCCTCATGAGTTTGAAGGTTGCTAAAACTGATAATAAATACAAATGATGGAGAAATGCTTGACATTCAAACCTAAGCCTGTATTAATAACAAGGAAACTTTCAACACAGCATGATGTCCCAAAACCCAAAGAAAGCTTAAAAAACATATAAATTTAAAAAGTAAAATGGGACACCTTGGTGGCTCAGCGGTTGAGCGTCTTTCTTTGGCTCAGGGTGTGATCCTAGAGTCCTGGGATTGAGTCCCGCATCAGGCTCCCTGCATGGGGCCTGCTTCTCTCTATGCCTGTGTCTCTGCCTCTCTATCGGTGTCTCTTATGAATAAATAAATAAAATCTTTAAAAAAAAAAAAAAAGTAAAGTTTGAGAGGCGCCTGGGTGGCTCAGTTGAGCATCCAACTGGCTGAGTTCAGGTCATGATTACAAGGTTCAGAGATGGGCCCTGGGTTAGGCTGCACACTCAGCACAGGGTCTGCTTGAGATTCTCTCTCACCCTCTCCCTTAAAAAAAGAATTTAAGGGCAATGAGAACACTCTGTATGATACCAGGATGACGGATACATGTCATTGCACATTTCCCCAAACCCACAATATGGGAAATGGAAAACCAAGAGGGAACCCCAAAGTAATCCCTCTCCCTGCTTG